GTCTTTATTCGTTAAATCGTGAGATGAAAGGTTTTGCATTATAGGCCTGTCTTTATCCGTCATATCATGAGAAGAAAGATTTTGTATTTTAGGCCTGTCTTTATCCGTCATATCATGAGAAGAAAGAATTTGTATTATAGGCCTGTTATTATCCGTCAAACCACAAGAAAAAAGATTTTGTATTTTAGGCCTGTCTTTATCCGTCAGATCATGAGAAGAAAGAATTTGTATTATAGGCCTGTTATTATCAGTCAAACCACAAGAAGAAAGACTTTGTATTATAGGCCTGTCTTTATCCGTCAGATCATGAAAAGAAAGAATTTGTATTATAGATATCACTTTATCCGTTAAAACATGAGATGAAAGATTCTGTATTGTTACGTCGTTAGTTTCGTTAGTTAATTTTCCGTAAAAATTCTTACCGAAGAAACTTTACCGATAAAAGTCATTTCTTAAACAAAACTGGTTTATTGTTTTTGAATACAACTTTGCGAGATACTTAATTTCAACAGTCGCGCTATAACAAACGCTATAATTCACAACGTACTTCTCACGTGCCCAACAATATTCTCTCTGTTCGCAGTTCAATTACTCATTACATTATTACCGTCTCGTTGTGACCGTCTTATATATAAAAGAATACCGAGATCTAGTAAACTCCCGATATTTCAGGAAGGGACGTGAACGTTCGAGAAGCTTGTGGCGTGATACTAGACTCACGAGACCCCCCATGTCGTAACAGTATTATAAACCTGTCTTTTTCAACAAAACATGAGAAGAAAACTGAATATCATACAAGGTGGAAATATATTATTATAAGTAGTATATCGCTAATCGTGTTTAATAAAATTAGATGAGTATGAAAGTTTAATTGAATGTAATATACTTGTTCTATTTTTCTTTGTGCAGCATTTATCTGTTTGTTTTTTCACAATAATCTTTGTGCAGTATTATCTGTGTTTGTTCTATTTTTCTTTGTGCAGCATTTATCTGTTTGTTTTTCATAATAATCTTTGTGCAGTATTATATATGTTTGTTTTTAATAATAATATTTTTACAGTATTATCTATGTTTGTTTTTTCATAATTATCTTTTTACAGTATTGTTCATGTTTGGTTTTTCATAATAATCTTTTTACAGTATTATCTATGTTTGTTTTTTCATAATTATCTTTTTACAGTATTATCTATGTCTTTTCATAATATTTTTACAGTATTATCTATGTT